GGAGCTTCCAGTAATGTTTCACATCCATGTGTATTAAAGTATCTATGGCGAGATCTATGGTCCCATTCACGGCCAAGGAGCATCTCCACAGTGTCCGTTGATCGATTATATATATTCCAGTTGCACGGATTTCTAGCCACCAGCTCGCTCTTCTCTTTAAACCATCGAGCTTCTTTGGCCTCCCACTTCTGTTTCTCTAGTCCAACGGCCTGCAGCCGTTGTAGCTCTTTCTCGAGCAGTTCCCTCCGCAGCTCGGCAGACACTGCTGTTCGGAGCTCACGGGTTTCTAGCCACCAGCTCGCTCTTCTCTTTAAACCATCGAGCTCTTTGGCCTCCCACTTCTGTTTCTCTAGTTCAACGGCCTGCAGCCGTTGTAGCTCTTTCTCGAGCAGTTCCCTCCGCAGCTCGGCAGACACTGCATGCTGTTCCGAGCTCCTCCGGTCCGCTTTCCACCGCTATCCTTCTGCGACGTCAGATCTTTTTCCAGAGCTCCTCTTTCTCCCGCTGATTCACTTCCAGCTCCACTCTCCGCCAGAAGTTTCAGCTGCTCCTTCTCTTCTTGGGAAGCTCTCAGCTTCTTCTCCATCATGAAGATGGTCTGCTTCATCCTTGCCAGGATACGGACTAAGCCAGCCCACGTGCAGCATGGACTGATCAGTGATCATCAGTCGTCAGATCCACTCTGGATCGATCAGATCAGCTTTAATAGTCCGGTCACACCCCTTAAAAATAATGTAATGGGTCAGTCCTTTGATATGATCATGATAAAGTAAGTTTTATCTACTGTATACATTCTTCAAAATTTTTATTTTTAGTTTTTTGGTCAGTTTAAAATTACAGAGTTTAACCCTTTTTTGTATTTTATAAAAGCCAAAACAACACTTTTAGTACTGCAAGCACTCTACCAGTTTTTAGGGGGGGGGGGTTGATACTGGGTATTTTTTAATAATATAAACGCATCTCAATTCTCAAGCCCTCCTTGACTGATTCTTCTAGGGCCCTTTGTATTGTCTTATCATCTTATCCTTAAATTTAGTCTCAGCATCTAACTATTGGAGAAATTGCTGGTGGGGATGGAGCTTATTGCCGGTTATTTTAGGTTATTCTTTGAAACTCGTAAAGCAAATGAAACATATAAGAAATGTAATTGCTAAGGTAGTACCATAGCAAGGAACTATATACATTCAATGGTGTACATGTATACATGTAGATATTAATCTAAAGATATCAGTGGTTGATCTGTCATCTGGTGAAGTAAAACCAGCTTAACAAATGAGAGGTGAAGCCTGAAGGAGGTTGGACTGTTCGAGAATTATTATTATTATTATTATTATTATTAAACTTTACAGTGCAACATAGAATAGACAGACAGAGAAGAGGAGGAAAGTACA